AGGTTCACAGGTTAGATAAATAATTCAAAAATGTTTCTTTTTTATTGCTGTTATTGCTTTAAAAATCATTTACATTTCATGATCATTTGTTCGTTTTGTGTAGGCCACTCCCTTGGATGGCAAATGTAAATGTAGTTAGATTCCGAAGGTTCCGTGTATTGTCAGAACCTTAAGATAACAAGCCCAGGTAATCTTTTATAGTCTTGGTAAGTAAACGCGCATACAATGCATGGCATCAGTATACATGGTATGCAAACACCTTGCCAAAAAATCCTATATCCGTATGGTATAATTTGCCTATACAACTTCTTACTAACTACATTTCTTTTTCAAAAAAACTAATAAAAATGGAGGTGAACTATTCAGCGTGACAGAACCTAGCACAAAGAGATATAATTCTACGATTTGAAAAGGTTGGTGTGAATGGCGTTGAGGATTCATATGATCTTTGACTCTTTCGTATGCTTAAAAACACCCACCTACACCAGTAGCAATGAATTTTAATGAAGTAATAAAACTTCACGTTGAATCAGATTGTATGACAAAAATTCTTTCAAATGCTGAGTTTCACATACATCCAAGATATCTATGTCCTTACACTCAATATACAGTCAGTAAAATTACCCTTGGTATACGCAGCTAACGAAAATTGACCGGTACGGGTCAAAAGCTGGACCGGTACGGGTTAACGGTTTTATTTGAATTTAAAACAGCCATAACTTGCTCAATATTGACTTCCTCGTGTCTAATTTGAAATATATGATGCCTCCCGATGCTTTTAAGTACCCCAATTTTTCACAGATTTTTAAACAGACCAAAACTCTCTAAATGCGCATTTATGCTCTTTTCTCTCGAGAACGACTGTCTCATTTTCACGATAACTTTTATTTAGTACTTCTAACATATAAGATCTATTTTTCCCCATCAAGGTATGATGTAAATGACATGCTATTTACATCTTTTGAGTTTCAATGACGCGCGTTTGATTTTATAAAAAATGCCAAACTTTGTGACAAAGAATTTCCTCCTGCTTGCAGCGAGAAGACGGACCGGTTCGGGGCAATAGCACACATGTATAAAGATTCCTAAATTATGTTCATGCTTTGTTGAGACGCTAGAGGACCGACAAATAATATGTCGGCACTTTAGCCCCTCCTAGTAGGAAACGCTAGAGAACCAAATGTCGACACTGAAGCCACTCCTAATAGGATCTAATAGAGAACCGACCAAAAGTCTGTGGGTCTGCTAAATACTGTAAAACAGGCTAAATTCGCAAGCATATATACAGTGCGTATCAAAAAAACGCAACAGATTGTAATCTTGGAAAAGCACAAAACCAGTGATAACAGCATTGATTTCATTCAATGCACCATAAACCCATGTGTCTCCTCTTTGCAATGATATATCATTCATTGATATTTGGTCATGGTTGGGCGAGTAAACATTCCATTTGCAAAGTGGGCCAGAATTAGCTTCGGGCCAAGTTATAAATATTGCAAAAGTCAGTTTTCGGAGCCGGATGCAATATTGGACGAAAACATTAAACCAATGCTGACTGCATCCTTTTAATTCAATGAACCAAAAAGCCAAATTACTCTGCTTTGCAATGGAATATCATTCATTCACAGCGAATCATCTATGGCCGAATATAGTCTTAGTCTTTTATAGTCTTGGTAAGTAAACGCGCATACAATGCATGGCATCAGTATACATGGTATGCAAACACCTTGCCAAAAAATCCTATATCCGTATGGTATTATTTGCCTATACAACTTCTTACTAACTACATTTCTTTTTCAAAAAAACTAATAAAAATGGAGGTGAACTATTCAGCGTGACAGAACCTAGCACAAAGAGATATAATTCTACGATTTGAAAAGGTTGGTGTGAATGGCGTTGAGGATTTATATGATCTTTGACTCTTTCGTATGCTTAAAAACACCCACCTACACCAGTAGCAATGAATTTTAATGAAGTAATAAAACTTCACGTTGAATCAGATTGTATGACAAAAATTCTTTCAAATGCTGAGTTTCACATACATCCAAGATATCTATGTCCTTACACTCAATATACAGTCAGTAAAATTACCCTTGGTATACGCAGCTAACGAAAATTGACCGGTACGGGTCAAAAGCTGGACCGGTACGGGTTAACGGTTTTATTTGAATTTAAAACAGCCATAACTTGCTCAATATTGACTTCCTCGTGTCTAATTTGAAATATATGATGCCTCCCGATGCTTTTAAGTACCCCAATTTTTCACAGATTTTTAAACAGACCAAAACTCTCTAAATGCGCATTTATGCTCTTTTCTCTCGAGAACGACTGTCTCATCTTCATGATAACTTTTATTTAGTACTTCTAACATATAAGATCTATTTTTCCCCATCAAGGTATGATGTAAATGACATGCTATTTACATCTTTTGAGTTTCAATGACGCGCGTTTGATTTTATAAAAAATGCCAAACTTTGTGACAAAGAATTTCCTCCTGCTTGCAGCGAGAAGACGGACCGGTTCGGGGCAATAGCACACATGTATAAAGATTCCTAAATTATGTTCATGCTATTGCCCCGAACCGGTCCGTCTTCTTGCTGCAAGCAGGATGAAATTCTTTGTCACAAAGTTTGGCATTTTTCATAAAATCAAACGCGCGTCATTGAAACTCACAAGATGTAAATAGCATGTCATTTACATCATACCTTGATGGGGAAAATAGATCTTATATGTTAGAAGTACTAAATAAAAGTTATCATGAAAATGAGACAATCGTTCTCGAGAGAAAAGAGCATAAATGCACATTTAGAGAGTTTTGGTCCGTTTAAAAATCTGTAAAAAATTGGGGTACTTAAAAGCATCGGGAGGCATCATATATTTCAAATTAGACACGAAGAAGTCAATATTGAGCAAGTTATGGCTGTTTTAAATTCAAATAAAACCGTTAACCCGTACCGGTCCAGCTTTTGACCCGTACCGGTCAATTTTCGTTAGCTGCGTATACCAAGGGTAAAAATCGATTCATTAAATGTGCTCATGGTACGATAGCATTTCTCTCCCCGTTCATACAATACGTAAAGGCTAGAGTACCGACATGTCGGTACGGGAGACTTTGCTGTGTTGAGACGCTAGAGGACCGACAAATAATATGTCGGCACTTTAGCCCCTCCTAGTAGGAAACGCTAGAGAACCAAATGTCGACACTGAAGCCACTCCTAATAGGATCTAATAGAGAACCGACCAAAAGTCTGTGGGTCTGCTAAATACTGTAAAACAGGCTAAATTCGCAAGCATATATACAGTGCGTATCAAAAAAAACGCAACAGATTGTAATCTTGGAAAAGCACAAAACCAGTGATAACAGCATTGATTTCATTCAATGCACCATAAACCCATGTGTCTCCTCTTTGCAATGATATATCATTCATTGATATTTGGTCATGGTTGGGCGAGTAAACATTCCATTTGCAAAGTGGGCCAGAATTAGCTTCGGGCCAAGTTATAAATATTGCAAAAGTCAGTTTTCGGAGCCGGATGCAATATTGGACGAAAACATTAAACCAATGCTGACTGCATCCTTTTAATTCAATGAACCAAAAAGCCAAATTACTCTGCTTTGCAATGGAATATCATTCATTCACAGCGAATCATCTATGGCCGAATAATCATTAATTTTGCAAAGTGGGGCAAAATTCAGCTCGGACCCAAGTTTAAAACATTGCCAAAGTCAGTATAAGGGGCATAGAGGCTATTGGAAGAAGGTGTGACAGGTATGGCATAGACAGTAAAGTGTTCATAATTCCAAGGTATGGAAAAAAGAGCCCCAACTGACTGTGTCTTAAGTTGTATTGGCCTCTGGTCAGTCAAAGACTACATTAATAAAATGAAATTATTATTTTTGGGCAGACTCTGTAGGTTTAATAGGAACGCAAACCCTAAAAAGATCTTTTTAACCAGACTGAGCAGTTACATTGTAAGAACTGACATAAATTGTAAAAATAAAGGATTCTTGCAAGACGTGATTAAGATTTTGCACGAATACCCTATTTTGTATGAATCATTGGAAATGTATTTGAAAAATTGCAGCTACATGTCAAAGGACAAATGCAAAATGGCCGTTAATGGTCAAATTCAACTTAAATTAGAAAACATTTGGGCAGAATCAGTTTCCATTAACCCTAAGTTGACAAGATTTTCTAATGTTCATACCAAATATGAAAACATTGTCCATTGGAAACTAGGTATTAAATACCCAACGTATGCTTGGGATTATGCCCAACTTCTTTATCTCTTAATTCTCCATACAGAAGGTGACATGATTTGTTTGGGTTGCAACGAAAACAAGTCTGATATTGTCAAACATACCTTACTCTTTTGTCCAAAATTATTTAAAACCAGAGATTGTTGGTTTGAAGACATAGTAGACGTTTTAAATGTGGCAGATTCTGTTATGTTGTTCAACTCAGAAACAAATATTATAATAGAAACCCGTTTAGGGGGGAGATAAGATCTCCTTTATAACATTGATCAAATTCAATGGGAAAAATTTATCACTCTTTGTGCCAAGCATATTAAGCATATGTTAAATACATTTTTAAATTAGAACATATCCATAAATTGATATAATTTGTAATAGTGAGGTTTTTATATTTACTCATGCAAATGTATCATAAAATATAATGTAGTGCTGTTATTTTCATTATTGTATATTATATTGTTTTGTATTTATATGTCATGTATAATGTTTAACTCTCCATAGTTTGGAGGAAATATAGATTAACCAAACAAAACATACTCTTGCAAGAATACATCCTATACCCCTCAAAATTGCCACCACTTCCTAGCACATAAAGATGCGTTCATCTGTCCACGTCATGCATGGTTCAGCCCTGAATCATGTGTGGGTTAAAGCAAAGAAAAGCAGCCCATCGGCAAATCTTTCTAGAGGTTTTGCAATATCTGGTGGAGGAATTGTGAGCACAGATGCTCCTGAGATAGCTCCAAAAGAAAAAGTCACAACAATTCAAGTCAGGGGAATTTCCATTGGCACTTAGCCCTTGCACTGATTTTTTCAATATCTAAAACTTGGCGCAGAGCCGATTTTGACCCACTGTGCAAATGGAAGGATTTCTCACCCAACCATTACCACATGTGAATGAATGACATATCATTGCAAAGAGGAGAGACATGGCTTTATGGTACATTAAATGAAATTAATGTAGTCATCACTAGTTTTGTGATTTTACGAGATAACTACTTGTTGCGTTTTTTTTATACGCCCTGTATAGTGATTTCGGCTTTATTTGCCTGAATGTAAAATCGCGAATTTAAAAATGTGTATTTTCTTGAGTAATGTGGATGAATTGATGGAACAAATGAAGATGGAAATCTACTGGTATACATGTTTATTTTATTCAAGTGTTTTATGCAATTATAAAACAAACGTGAAGAAAAACTTCAAAGTCCTATTTGAATACATTTGTTTGTTTCAACACTACATACTGTGTTATAAAAAATAAAACATGTACAATATAAAGTTAGCTAAAAGAGTGTTTTTTGTTTAAAATACCATCATCAGGGACATAGCCAGCTTCCAGTCACGTACGCGTGCGATCGCCAAAAATCGTCTTTCAGTCGAAAGGGGGGGACGTGGCATACAGGTAAGCAACCCGACCTAAACAAACTTTTTTTATTACAAAAATTGATGCAACTTCCTTCAAACACCGGGCTTCAAACTTGAGCTAGAAGCTTCAAATAAAAAGCATTTGAAAGCTCTTTCCTTCATCGGATCTATTGTTATTGGTAATGGGGGTTCAGTCGCATCCCCCTGACTATGGATTATAAGACCAGTTATCAAAGTAAATTTAAAACACGAGCAGTCTCACGACCCGACCCTACATATCACCAATCAACAGGCAACAAACTCATGACAAGAAAGTTTGTAAGTTTAAATTTATAATTAAGGTAAGGGTGCATGATGGGAAATTTTCTACATCCCTCAATTGAGTCACATGTTATTTTTCAAACAAGAATCACTCCTCCCCCACATTGTTTATATCTTCCAGTTTTGCACAAAGAGTGCACTTATGTGCCTAGAAAAGACTTGTGAGAAGAATGTTTTGATAAAGTGTATAAAAAACAAGAAAATTCAGTGAAAAATTTCAGAAAATTTTCAGAAATTTTTTCCACTGAATTTTCTCGTGTTTTGTAAATTTTAGAAAACAAATCTTCTCACAAGTCTGCTCTAGGCACATAAGTGCACTCTTTGTGCAAACCTCGAAGATGTAGACAATGTGGGGAAGGAGTGATTCTTGTTTGAAAAATAACATGTGACTCAATTGAGGGATGCAGAAAATTTTAAATCATGCACCCTGACCTTAACCTCTTATAGGTTTTATTTTTAAAAAAACAACAGATGGCAATCGTGACTGGATAATTAGCAGGAAAATAACCCTAATTGACATACAACCAACTAGAAAAATAATCTCAAACAATGTTGCACTCAATATTTTCCGAAACAGGTTTTATTTCTTATCACAGTTCAGTGCAGCTTTATTAGAGACAACTCATTTCGTAAACAGAATGTATTTAATATTAGCATCCAAGTATTGCCGTTGCAAATCGCAAAAACATCGGGAAATCATGAATTAGAAAGCCACCCAGCCTTTGAGGGTAAGCCAGATCATTGTAGTACAATGGCTCAAAATATTTATTGAGCTACTACTGATATAAAAAGAAATAAAAAGAACAATTTTAAAAACTCGGTCCGCAAAAGAAGCAAAATGTATAATCTAGACACAGAAAAAATGCATCCGCATGCAGGAATCGAACTCAGTACCATGTACATGGTAGCCGAGGACGCTAAACACTACGCTATCAGTAAAGAAAACAAGAATGAAACTAGTGTATTTATTTTTGAAAATTTCGGTCCTCTATCTTGCCCTACTACAAGAGGATAGAGTGACGGCAATTGTCGGTACCCAAGCAATTACACACTGGGCAGTCTCCAGTACCTACAATTGTCGGTACAGGGGTCAGTCCGAATAAACGTATATTTATTTTCTGAAAAGCATTGAACTTTCCAAAGTCTTCGTGTTGAAAATATGGACATATTTTTGCCAGATAACCTTTAAAATCGACAATTATCCTGAAATTGGTAGTTCTGCTAATTTTCATTCCAGTTTATGTCACCACAAGGTGACATATTGTTATGGTCTCCAACCTTTTCTGGACGGTGGTTGACGTCCGTAACTTTCGTAATAAATTCTTGTAACAAAAGCTAACAATTTCCACTGCTTAGACTGGCTTAATTCTTTTTCAAAATCATCTACATGTTCTTAGAAGTTCAAATCTGACTTCAGATTTAGGATTTGGGCTTCAATGACCTTCTCAATGTCAAATTCTCAAACACAAATTCTTGTAACAAAATCATACAACTTCCACTGTTTAGACTGGCTTAATTCTTTTTCAAAATCTTATTCAGAAGTTGAAATCTGACCAGATTTGACCTTTAATGACCTTCTCAAGGTAAAAAAGGTATTTTTCAAACTTGCTTCAATTTGACCATTTTTTCCAAAATCAATCATCTACAAGTTCTCGGAAGTTCAAATTTAACTTTAAATATCAGATTTGACCTCCATCTGTTACAATTGTTACACTTTTGTAATCATTAGCAGGTGGGTACATTTTTTCTTGTATTTGATACTTGGAGTAAGTGATCTTCAAAAACAGTAGATTGAAGAAATAAGTTCTTCAGTCAAAAGCCTATACTTAAAAATCTTTACCACTGGACAACGCCATAGTGCATCGACACCGAAACGATTTTCCATACTCGAAAATACAGAATATGAACAAGACATTAAAATTTTGTTTGCATTTCAGGTCGTAATTCGGGTAACAAACAAACTTTTATCCGAAGCCATATCAATACACTGGCATGGTTTGCACCAGAAATACACTCCATGGATGGATGGCACACCTCGCATCACCAATTGCCCCATTCATCCACACCAGACCTTTACTTATAGGTTTAAAGCGACACCTAGTGGAACACATTGGTACCATTCACATATGGAAGTCCAAAAAGCAGACGGACTTTTCGGGATGCTTATTGTCCATAAGAAGGACGCCAAAGATGTTGTAGAAAAGGAGGATTCTGTGCCGTTGATTGTTACTGATTGGTTTCATGTTAACGGTGCAACAATAGATGTAACGAATGCATACAGAACGGATTATCCACCTGGTACAGGCGAACTAATGCTTCATTTCAAAGATCGTTGGTACTCTAAAGATAGTATTGAACTATCGGGAATGAAATACGAAAGTGGTTTAATTAACGGCAGAGGTCGGTTTAACAACAAGGCTCCTCTTTTTGAGACGACTATTAAAGCAAATAATACAAAGAGATTTAGATCGGTAAACGCTGCGTCTGAATACCCCTACCAGATTTCCATTGACGACCACGAGTTGATAGTTTTGTCATTGGACGGAAACGAAATAGAGCCATATTCTGTACATTCTGTTATAATATATCCCGGGGAGAGAGTTGACTTTATGGTAAACGGAAATCAACCCCCTTCACAATATTTTATAAGAGCAAAAACATTGGTTGAAGGAGCTGGACCCAATGATAACCATGAAATAAATGCGAAATTAATGTATGAAGGAAGCGAGCTGGCTGATTCAGACCCTGCGTCTTCCCAAAGGAAATGCACACAATCCAACCCTTGTAAAATTCTAAACTGTCCTTTTCCCAACTATCCAAACTCCAGCAACATTTGTATTTCAATCAGTGATATGATGGACCTTAAGCGATCCGTCTTCTTGGGTAATGAAACGTATGAAGAGGAATTCCTCAACTTTGAATTTGCCATAGGATCATCGGTTAATAACATCAAATTTGTTGCTCCTCGTGCCCCGTGGAATGAACCAAACAATTGGGAGGTCCCGTGTGCTGATAACTGTCCAAATGTCAGCTGTCACTGCACACATGAACTTAGCTTCTCTTTAAACCAGGTCGTTAGATTAACATTAATTAATATGAGGGAACCGTCTGCATTTGCCCATCATCCAGTACATCTTCACGGGTTTTCATTTGAAGTGCTAAAAACTGGCTACCCTGAAATAAATGGAACTACGGGGGAAATGACCAGTCACAACACAGACATCGTATGTGATACCAAGCCTATCTGTAGCAGGGTACATTGGAGAGAGGGCCATCCGAAAGATTTAAACTTCGATCATCCTCCAAGAAAGGATACGATTCTCATCCCAGCAGGAGGGTACGTGATTGTTCAATTCGTAGCTGATAACCCGGGCTATTGGTTCATGCACTGTCACCCCTTGTTGCACGTTTTAGAGGGAATGGCACTGGTGGTGAACGTTGCTAGAGACCAGCAGGGAAAGCCACCCAAGGGGTTTCCGACGTGTAATACATTTGATTGGTCATCTGAGGAGTATAACAAGGTCATGGCTACAGAGGGAACCCGTGAGTATGATATTCGTATCATGAATATTATTAGAAGTATATAGTGTTTGCAAGACTTGTGAATGTACGGATTTGCGTTGCTTAGATTTCCAAACATATCTCCAATTCATGTCTGTTCGCCATCGAATAATTTGTAGTTCTATAAACTATGATCATTTTTAGAAACATCTCCACGGTGCCTTAAAGACGATGAAACTTACGATACAGGGGAGAGTATTCCTTCTAAGGATGGCTGCAATACCTGCACGTGTGGTAGTGATGAGCAATGGAGATGCACCGAAATAGCATGTGCTACTAAGCCTCCATCTAGTAAGTGAACTAAATAAAATGAATTTTGGAGTATAAGAGATGAGAAAAATCATCTCTGCATAAGGTTGTCGGCATTAGTAAAAGACTGATACTGTGGAAGAAACCTTGCAAATAGTATTTGGGGATATAGAAATAACAATGTATTCAAGGCAATCAGATTCACTAATATCTCAACTTCTGTTTTTTCAGTGGCAAATGTTTACGATGAACTAACATTTTGGGTTGTTGTTGGTGTACTAGCCGGGATCTGCTTCATACTTCTACTGGCTGTGATTTACTTACTATGTACCAGAACATCAACTCGCAAAGGAAGAGATTCAACTTTAGAAATCGACTCTAAAGAAAACAAGGGTTATTATCAGGATAGAACTGATATGTGATCATCATCGTTGAATCCTGCTTGGCATCCTATCTCAGACTTGCTACCCTTTCTAATTCTAGTTGAATACCGATGTCAACTTAGACAATGTGACTTTATGGGCGAACCCCTTTTAATGGATTGTATTTTATAATTTGACATGCCTCGTATTGCTATTGCATAGAGTGACATTTTTTAAATCTTAATTTTAGTTCATCTTTGACTTCAAAGGTGTTATAACCCAGTTGGAGCAACTGAAACATTGTGAATTTTAGTTAACAAAACTAACACATTTAATGTTTACATAAAATTGACAAAGATATTAATGTATAGAATAAAACATAGCGGAGACCACCAATTTTTAATAACAAAATGTTTCATTCGGATATTTAATTAGAAGTATTTTTTGACATGTAAATATGGTAGATTTTTGGAGAAGAATGAAGGATTACCCATTATCTGGTGTTGTGTTATGAATTTTGTAAATGTCATGCACGTGAATTGTTTAGTTTATATCTTAAATTGAACTACTCAGCCATTCATCAATTAAATGAAAGTTAATCTCAGACTCGGTTGAAAGATCATCAATTTAGGGAAACGTCATACGCTTGGTAATTTCCTCTAGTTTTTTTTTTTTTTTTTTTTTTTTTTATTTAAAATGAACGACAAAATATGTACATAATATTTACAGTGTACAATACATAATCAATTAGATGAGCACTTAACTATTTTTCGACATGTTTAAAAATCAATCAGAATTAAAAATACTGTCAGCTAAAAAATATATGCTGGTCTTATTCTGTTTACCACTGGCTATACAACTTTTAAACTGGATAATCTTCATAGATGTAGTCTTGGATAATCCAGGGTTACCAAATAATATTTCATTACATGTAATACCTGGGAAATGCTTATCCCATAAATATTTAACTTTTCTGCATTCATAGAAATAATGCACCAGGTTGTCCTGAACTAAACAATCTTGACACAGTTCATTTTGTACTTCATCAATTTGATATTTATACATTAATTTTCTGGTAGGATATATTCTATGCATAATTTTCAAGTTGCATCAAATCTAAATCAAGTACTTCATGATCATCTAGTAAGTGGGTCATTGATTCGAACACTTTGGACAATTTTTCTTTTGCTATTTCCTTCGTGTAGATCTATTTTGGATGCACCCCGTTCACATACCGCAATAAGATGCAAGAGAAAGTCACTTCAACTTGCATGTGGATAAGTAAGATAACTCCACAACGCAAACATATTGTGGGAAATCAATATCTGGTAGTTTTCTCGTGTTTTATGAGCTCTGTGATTTGATGTATCACCTCTCTGAAGCATTACCCACTTCGTGGCCTCTCTAGCCTCTTACAATACAAGATTCATGGTGCCATTCGACTAGTGTCGTCAGTATGTGGGAGCTATGGGTATCAATTTGAAGTAAGTATTCACTGCAAGTTTGAAAAACGTTTTTGAGGAAAACTACGAGTTCTCTTTACGAATCAAGTCTTACTCGGTTGCATTCTGGTGGAATATCACTCATGGATAAAGTCCAATGATTTTCCTGAGGATCGGATCCTCGCACTGCGGAACATCGTAACGTATTGGAGGTGGGGGTCTTGGCACAATGGCGCATCTTCCATGGTCACTGCTGACACCTCTATGCAGAAGCATAGGTCGCCGGCAGCATAATGGCAGCCTTGCCTCTACACATATTCTGGGTCCATGTTTTTCGACTGACCATATTTTCCTCCCAGTGTAACGTGATTTCCCGTATTGCACACACAAATAATGTAACAAGATCTCGTCCTCCTACGGTATTACCATAAACTATCTTGTAAGAAGAATGAGGAATTTTTCCCGTTTTGCCTGAATTTCCAGGTGACGGCAATAATCGATCCCTCATATTTTGTAATCTTTCTATCGTTTTTATTTATTTACCGTAATTAATCCAAATTCAGGTTATACAGTGTAATCCAGTTGCGATATCTGATTCAATCGATAAATAGAAAAAAATCAAATCCTAAGAAAAAAAAACACATTTATATTTCATTTTTGTACTTAAGTAGTTTGTAGTTAGTTGTATGCTTTGTATATGACTCCTGATGGGGATTGAAATACAATAAAGCTGATAAATTTGAAAAAAAAATTGTCGAAATATAATCCACAAAAATAGCTTTCACAGATTCAGATCGCCAAATATACAAAAATATTGGACGGACGGACGGACCCTACCGAACTTCGTTCCCTGGGTTAATGACAATTATATAAAGATAGGAGATGTTGGCCGATTTCCGATATTAACCCGAACGCATATAACTGAAACGCCCGTCGTTCGTACTTACAATATTTCTACTGTTCGTTATTTTATTGCAGCATAAACAAACATGGAGGAGTGGGACATTGATGTACGAACCTTTAATTTGCTGTATTATCACACTAGATTGTCAAACTTAACATGCATATATACAACGGACTACACAACTGTAAGTATATTATCATATTCGATGTTAAAAAGTAGACTTTGACTGGTCTTCATGTTCAAATATCACATGGAAAATTCCATAGAATTTTGAAATATTTTCGCCTCATCTCGATTAAAGTTCATTGCTAGGGGTGTACTCGATGAATCACTCCATTGGAGTAGAAACTAAAAGAAATATATATATACGTTGGGCTCCATTATAACTTAGTTTGCTTAATCATTACTATGCTAATGGGAGCAACTTACTCGAGTCTCTAGCTTACAGCTAGACGAAACTTCATTGATTTCGTATGTAATGTGCTACACGCACCTACACGCACCTAGAACTCATTTTTAATAAATTTTATAAATATTTTTAAGAATATTAATCATATTTAGGATGAAGCGTTGTTTGTCTGGATTTAGATATTTCAAAATTTCATTTCGGAGTTTTGACACATGGTGAAATTTTCTCGCTGTAGCTAAAAATGGCTTCCGGTTCTGGACGTGAATAACATTTGAAATTATTCTCGCTTAAAGAAATCAAATACAACAATAGATTCAGACAGGGATGTGAGCTGATGTTCTTCAAATCTATACATAAAGGTATATTTCATATTATTATGCCATATTTACTGTGCGTGTGACACAATGATTTACAATATTTATAATACTAAGGCAGCTCAATCTTCCTCCTCAAAGCCGGAATGTAGAGAAGGCTTTGGACCGAAGTAAGGAGCAACATAGACTATATCTTACTCCCGTCGAGAGCTACTTAGATTTTGAAAGTATAGCTCTCTATCACTAGAATCAACAGCTTAAGGGAATTCAGCTGACTCATGTTGCACATTAGATACCTGAAAATGTATCCTACATCGCCATCTTTCATTCAGCTCAACTATAGAACGTCTCACTGCCCTATGTATCGATCAGGACTTCATTTTATTGGTCGTGTCAAAAGTTTTGGCCAGGTATATTCAATATGGCGGCTTGACGTTTCCCAAGTTGCGCATGCGTCGATAGTATATCCGTTTAACCGCCATATTGGAAATGGGTATCGACAAAAAACGATTAGAACTCCTGATCGCCATAGAAGCACATCCGCGATCCTACATGCACGGGGAAAGTAGACACATATGAGCCCATATGTAGGCTACAGTTTGAGACAAACAGCAAGCCGCTGACTGGCGCTGATCAAATTTAGATGTCACAATATTTCAGCTGGGAGATCCTCACGATGGAGAGCTATACTTTCAAAATCTAACATGGTAGCTCTCGACGTGAGTAAACTATATCCTATTTAGTCTGAATTATATTCAGACTATAAGCACTGCTACCCACCTAGTTACACAGACGTATCGTCAGTGTATCATGGCGGAACTACTTCCGGGACTAGGTTTCGGTAAGATTTTTTTATTTCTCGATTTACATCTACTTATAAGTCACGTTGTGGATAATAATTTGGCTCGAAGTTAAGGAAGATAGTCTAGTTTGAGAATGTGTGGATGGTTTTAGGTTTTATATGTTAACGAAGACACAATTCACGTATTTAGTCCCTCGCTTTTGTTACACTGACGAACGACCAATATCAGTGTAATATTGGCAATATTAATGCCGATCGTCAGTGTAACAAAAGCGGGGGACTAAATATGTGAAATGCGTCTTCGTTAACATACCAAACCTAAAACCATCGACACATTCTCAAACTAGACTATCTCCCATAACTTCGAGCCAAATTATAATCCACATCGTGTCTTATAAGTAGATGTAAATCGAGAAATAAAAATATCTTACCAAATTCAAATCCCGGAAGTAGTTCAGCCATGATACACTGACGATACGTCTGTGTAACTAGGTGGGTAGCAGTGATAAGGCACCTATGTTAAAGTTTGGTAATATGAAATATTTGTTTACATAGGAAGTGCTATTCAAAATGGCCGATTGGTAAAATTAATTTGCACATTTTTACTTCAACTAGCTTTATTTCCACTTGACAATGTGCTGTGTTACTTTTTATTGCATTTAATTGTACCTTACTATTTAATTGAAATTTTGTAATGTTTATTTTATTGAAGAAATGGTTCCTCTCATTGATAGTTTCATGCAAAAAATTTCACTGCAATTTCCTCAGGAAAGTAGTACATCATAACAGACTGACTTCTAGTCAGTCTGTTGGATACATACTAGGGAGCAACAAGCCTGCACTACTGGTAAAGAGGGGTGATGTCAACGCGGTAGCCTGACAGTCGCCCCAGGGTATTTCAACATTAAGGGACTTTCTAGGGGGGTACAGGGGCCAACCAGGAAGGTTCCTTTAGTTTAAATTTTAAAATGAGTTGTAAACCATAGATCTATTTTTAAATGTTAAGGTTTTAAATTATATTCTATTCAAATTCTATCACTGTTAAATTATATATCTGCTTTATATGGGCTTATTAGCCTTTTGCAGATTATTGACATAGACATAGATAGGGAGTGATTTTGAGTTTCAACGGAATATTGAGTCACAGTTTATACACAATGTGACAATAATTGACTTGTAACTAGACTACATATATTGGCATAAGAGCCAAACAGTACTTTTCCCTTGGCTTATGCCATATTTCTTCTTCTTCTTGATCCTTTTAAGTGTCCGTGTGACACTATTGGCACTATAATGCTGCCTTTGAACACTGGTTACTCAGTAATTCACTTTGGTTCTATATCTCACTTGTACTTCAGTTATACTTTACTAAGCTGGAGAGAGAGCGCTGAGAACATGTTATTTCAATATTATGACCTGAAGTGGTACTTAAATCCAGTATTAAGTTGTAGAAGAGTCACTATCTCATGAGTTTAGTATAGAGTCACTGTCTCTTTCTTATTTTGTTTGCTTAAAATCTTCTGGTGTTTTGCAGATAGCGATGCAGCACTTCTGTATTGTTCTGGTGATGGGCCTGTTGATGTTTGTGTTTAGGCCTAGTATGAGTTGTAAGTCTATAATTTGCGGGTGTTGTTCTCCTAGTAGGATAGTGTCGATGCGAGCAAGTAGTTCCTCCCTTTGGTCCTGGAATAAGGAGCAGTCAAATATAAAATGGTGTATTGACTCAGGGACCATACATTGAGTACAATTAGGGGACTTAATC